CGATTATGTGGTACTGTGTCAAATGCTTTTGAAAAATCTAGATATACCACATCCACCAGACTCCCTCCATCCAGATCTCTACTTACCTCTTCGTAGAATGTTAGTAGGATGGTCTGGCAAGAACGGTCCTTCCTAAATCCATGCTGATTATCATTTATTATACCATTTTCATGAACAAGCTCTACTAAGTGGTCCTTTATCATTCCCTCTAACCGTTTGCATACTGTTGATGTAAGACTGACTGGTCTGTAGTTCCCTTGTTGGCATCTTGACCCTTTTTTGAGTAACGGTACTACCGTAGCTTTCCACCAGTCACTTGGTATTCTACCAGTCATTACGGAGTCTTTGAAGGTGAGGAATAATGGTCTCGCTATAACCTGGCTTCTTTAAGTACCCTGGGGTGCAGGTTATCCGGTCCTAATGCTTTATTTGCATTACGTTTTTCAAGTCTATGTTGAACCCCGGCTACATTCAACCACTGTGGTTTATTTTGCAATGGGCTACTTTCCTTCTTATTTACATTAAACCTGTCACTCTCCTGAGTGTATACTGAGGAGAAAAAAGAATTCAACACCTCGGCCCTCTCCCTGTTGTTTGTGACTGATCTCCTGTTTTCATCCTTTATTGGGCCTATCTGCTCTTTTCTTACCTTTACTGTTTATATATTGGTAGAATGTTTTGGGGTTACTTTTACTGGCTGTGGCGATATGCTTTTCCCAGTCTATTTTAGCTGCCCGAATTTTAGGTTTATATCTTTTATTACATTCTTTGTAGTTCCTGAATGCCAATGCCGTCCCTTCCATCTTATATTTTTTAAATGCCACGCTCTTGTCCTTGATGTGTTGTTTTACTGTTTTGTTTTACTGTTTTATTTAGCCATGCAGGCTTAGTTCTTGATCTTTTATTTTTGTTCCCCAATGGCATGCACTTGGTAATAGCTATATGTACTGTATGCTTAAAACAATCCCACTTCTCTTCAGTGTTTAGTGTGAGAAATAAGGTGTCCCATTCGGTGTCGCATACTAGCTGGTGCAGCTTATCAAAGTTTGCCTTTCTGAAGTTTAGTGTTCTTGTTCGACCAACACACTTCTCTTTTCTGTACCCCATATTAAAAGTAATCGCATTGTGATCACTATTACCCAATGCATCCCTAATCGCTAGGTCCCCAACAAGGTCCGCATTATTGGAAATTATTAAATCTAGTATTGCATTTTTCCTAGTTGGGACCTTAACCATTTGATCCATGAAATTGTCCTGCAATAGGATCAGAAAATGGCCCGCCTTTATTGAATGAGAGGTTCCATTAAACCAATCGATGTCCGGATAATTAAAGTCACCCTTTACAACAACATTTCCTGCTTCCCAGCTATTTCAATTTGGGAGTGTAGGTGAGTCTCCTCCTCTTCCCCTATATTCGGGGGTTTATAACACACACCCACAATTAGTTTACGACTAGCATCAGTCTTATCTAGTTCTAGCCACAAGGACTCTACACCATTGCGACTCTCTGCCATGATATCATCCCGTATGTGCACAGTTAGATTATTTTTAACATACATGCATACCCCCCCCTTCTCCCAACCCTGTCCCTCCTGAGCAGGTTGTACCCTTCTATATTGATAGCCCAGTCATGTGTGCTGTCTAGCCAAGTTTCAGCTAATCCCACTATATCGAAGCCCTCTTCGAGTAGCATAACTTCGAGCTCCTCTAGTTTGTTTGCTAGACATCTAGCATTGGTGTACATACATTTGAATTTGGTGCTAGTTTGGGTTACATTTTACTAATTTCTGGCCCGCCACTATTTTTTTAATTGGACCCTGGTATTGGTGATACCTTACTAATATGATTAATCGGAGCGATTTAATTGACTATATTGACTATATTGACTGGAGTGAGCCCTCTGCCTCCCCCCCACTTGTATTACTGCCCTCTGTATTAATTGCCCCTGTAGTTACTTGTTCTATATTATCTAGTTTAAAAGCTCCTCCAATCTTGTAACCATTTTTCCCCCCCAAAAGTGCTGCACCTTCCCTATCTCTTTACAGTTTTTCATTGAAGCACTGTGTGTTGAAAAGTAATGGCAAGAAGATATAAAAGAACCTTATATCAACGGATGTTTGAAATTAAATAGCATATGTTAGGCTGGAATGCCATACTTTATTAACTGTTCATCAAATAGTCAGTCAATGGGCAAACATGAGGACAGATAATAGAAAACTGGGTGCAAATTAGGACAAAAGGACAACAGAGCCTGAAGATGAAAGAATTATTAGACAAGTATTAAGAATTAGATGGATGACCTCTGGTCAAATTAAAAATTGCTTATTTGACGCTTTACTTGTTGACTTGGCTCCAAGATGCTGTATTTATGCCCAGCAATGTTTGTGATATAATAGGCATAACCACTATTGTAAATGGGCACAAAGACAGAATTACTAGATTACAGAAGTAGGAATTACTAAAGAAACCATCCAACACCTTTTCAATTGAATGTGGAACGGCAAAAAATCAGAACAATGCACATGGAGACCACACCTCTTCATGATTTTCAATAAATAATTTTAAATGAAATGGCTTAAACCATTTAAAATATCATGTTTTTATTTTATGATATTCAGTTGAACCTGTAAACTCTGTAAATGCTGCAGTTTCCAATTCCACTATTGTAGTTTGGTGCATGCCATGGGCAAACGATTTAAAGGTAAAGTCCACCAATAAAAAATGCACACATATTAATTAAAACAAAATTTTTTGCGTTGGAGCCAGTAAAGCATTGAAGCTGTGATGACATCACTGCACTTGTATTGCATTGAGAAATACATGTTCCTCTGCTATTTTGGCAGACAGGACTAGTAATTTCTCTATTCATAGATCTTGTCAAATAATCTGTGAATGGATGATGCAGCTGTGCAGGCAGAACCACACACAGCTGAGCAGGCAGAACCACACATAGCTGAGCTGGATAAAAAAATGGAATGAGTCTGCAGGAAGAAGAACCCCACAAAGGGGAGTGATGGAGTGGGATGGGGGTAGAAGGTTGCAATGTGGCCCTGTTTCAGGTCACACCCTGAATATGGGTGTAACATGAAACATAGTATAAAAGGTAAACTTAGACTTTAAACTAAAATACTGTATTGAATTTTGGTAAAAAGTACTATATATTACATAGATATAAATAAATTAGCTTTTAGAAAACCTGTGCAAATAAAGCTCTATCTAGAGTTTTAAAGCACTTTCAAAATAAAATAACCTTGTAGCTACAGAGCAGGAGCTTTCTGGTGCTTCATCTTATAGTGACACTAAACTCAGGAGTTAAATCTTAAAAATGCATTCAAGTACCTTAACTGTTATTTGTGTATCTCTTGGCTGTAGATCCACAAACCATTTCTAAATTTGTGCTGACACTGTCCGTACTTCTGGAGGGTGGCTACTTTTGTTCCCCATAGTCCATCTCTGTGTTGTTTTTGGTCCCTGTGTGTGTTGTAAAGTAGCCACTGGCTCCACGCTTGCATCTGTGATGAACTGCAATCGCAATACAAATTAGTAAACTAAACATAAGATTGTAGTCCATCGCGGGAACGAACTTGGAGCTGGTGGCTACTTTGCAACACACACAGGGAACCATGGGGAACAAAAGTAGCCACCCTCCAGAAAGAAGGACTGTGTCTGCATGAATTCAGATATGATTTGAGGATCTACAGCTGAGTGATAAACAAATTAGATATATCTTTGTTAATAGTTGAGGTACATGAATGCATTTTTAAGATTTAACTCCTAAATTTAGTGTGACTTCATTAGGGACCTTTGCCATTGCTCTTGCTATCCCCATGCATGTGCAGTTTGTTGTAAGCCCTTTATTGCTTCCTCTCTCATGTCACAACTCAATAGAAATCTCTAGCAGCTGTAAAAACTTGGAAATCAGATTTTTTTAAAGTGAAGTCAGTTCTTACACATTACTATTATTATTATTATTATACAGGATTTATGTAGCAGACAAGATGTTTAGATGGTCAAAAAGAGAATGCTGCTGCTGAAAGGGAAGATGGTCACCATCTACCTGCCCCTGTCCCACTGCACCTCAGCCTAACCTGGCTGCAAGTAAAACAAATAAAAAGGAGAATGGTCGATAGAGCCATTTGCAGTGATCAGGGGATTTACTAAAAATGATAGCGCAGATACAACAGGCATCACCAAATGCATAGCAAGCATTAAGGCTTTTATTTTGCATTTAAGCTTTTATTTTCAAAAAACATCCCCTGATCACTGCAAATGGCTCCATAGACCATTCACCTGATCGTTTTTTACACTGGATACAAACAACATTATCAGTCTTTTCCCAATTATTTGGAACAATTTTTTCTCAGCCAATAGAAAAAATTATAATTCAAGCCAAAGGGAAATGGAAAGATAAAGCAAGTTAAAGCGCAATGAAGTAAAATGCATTTTTACAGCTATTGTCTTGAGATTGCTACAGAGCTGTGGCATGAGGGAGGGAGCAATACTGAGCTTACAAACAGCCTCTATGCACAGGAACGTTTAGATGGAATAGCAAGAGGAATGGCATGGTTTACTTCAAAGATCATGTCTGCTGCTCAAATGTGCTGTGGTAGCTTAAAACAACCTACAAGATACTACCTCTGCCATCTCAAAAAACTTAATTGGTGCCTTTGCTACTTTACAGAAGACCAGCAGGTGCATTGGAGCATGTCTAGCCATAAGCTGTGTCTCAGTTCTGTAAGTAGAACCTAAAGGGATGTCAAAGGGATGAAAAACTCAGAGTTTGTATTATTTTTGGTCAAACAGGGGATAGAGGAGAAAAGGTGAACTTGCTGTAAGAGGTTAGGCCTGCTTTAAGGCTAGTCCTATCTTCTGTGAGTTTTTAAACCTGTTGAAAGTTTCAGTATGTACTGTATACATGACAGAGAACATAAAAAACTACAATATAACAAAAACATTTCAAATATATTTTTACAAGGCCAGAGTACTCCAAAAAGACTTACTTCATCCTCATAAACAGCCATGCCCCTTACTGATCCAGTTGTTCCAGCACGCTTCATCTAAAGAGAAAAATGCAAATTAATTTGTAATCAACAGTCAGTTCTGAGAAATGAAACTGGTGGCATTATCATTCATGTTTCTTTCCAAAAGTGATTCACATCTACATAAGACAAGTAACCTGCCATATACAGCTGTGTGCTCCATATTCACAATCACCCTAGGCATTTAATTTACAGTACCTCACTTCTTGTTACTAATCTAGGCCTGACCAAAATTGTAATTATAATTTAATAAACAACCTTATTACAAGCCATTAATTGTGTTTACTAATGAAGCTCATGTTACAAAATAGTAACTTACGTATTTAAATCCACATGTTACATATGTATATTTGTGTTTCTCACCTAAACAAAAGCATAACTCAAAGGATCAGATACACCTAGTAGAAGGATAAGTTAACAATAATAGAGGATCTCATGCACATAGTATGTACCGGTATGACTCGCTCCAAGCACACATTGAAGTTCTTTTTCTGATTGGGTTTTAGCTTCTTCAGAGAGAATCGGGTCTCACCAATGAACTCATTGTGTCCAAACTTGTCTTCATCACAAACAGATATTCTAAAGAATGATATACATTATAATTTACATATCATTTAATTTTCATTTCGCTGAATTATTAAACTCTGTGTCATGTAGAGGCATGTTGCACATTTTTATGCTTCCATGCCTTGCAGTAAAAACTAACAATTATGTTATGAATTGTTAGGCTTTACAGTATATTCTACTAGTTTCTTATATTTTTTGAAAGCTCCACTAATAAGATTTGCACTGCACTCCAAAAGTAATGGGATCTCCAAACAACTTGTTTGCGGCACCTCTTTTAACACACTGGGTTTCCAAGTACAGCATCCCAAGTGTAAACAATCCATCAGTGCCAAGGACACTGAAGACTGAGCAATCCAATATAATAAAATAAACAGATCTGGCTATATCACAATTATCACAATACTAGATCTGAGAAGCAGATGGTGCTGCAGAAAATGTCTGTAGCTGCACCGCCTAGTTCAGCAGGTGGGAACTTTGAGGGGGAGATTAATAACAGTTTTAGTTCATAGATCATTCACAAATAGGGAATGTTCATTTTAATAAAAACTGTCGGGTAGAAACAAGGAATACTGATCATTATACCAATAAAATCATTATTGTAATTAATATAATCATTTGCAAGCAGCACTGGCTTAACAAGGACTCATGCTAAATCCAAAAAAGCATTTTCATTTCATTGCTGGCAAACAAAATGTCTTACCTCAAAGTCTTTCTCTGCAACTCTTCATCCGTGATGCCATGATACACAAGGCTCTCGTTCCATATTGGATTACGAGTATTTCTTAATGTTTTAGTTCGCAATTTGTTTGCCTGGAGACATAGAAAAAAACAAACTATGCTATTTGTCAATTTACATTGTGTAGCATTTTAAACAAAGTTCAATAGAATAATTAAAAAAATTGTGCACTGTGAGAAAACATCAATATAGTAAAGCATATTATGCAATGGAACTGAGCAAATATGAATGATGCACAGTGTACTCCTAAAAACATCTGCCACATGCTGGAACATTTGAAAGATGAACGATTTAGTAATAGGTACGCTACAGGCATTGTGAAAATGGTATGTTTAAAGAATGATTCCAACCAACCCTGAATACTTTAGGGAACAGTGGTAGAAAAAAAAACTGTAGCTCAGGTCGTATAGTGATAACACTACGGTGACAAAGCAAGGATAATTAGTAGGGGAGGGAGGTTACACATACACACTTATGTTTCCAGATAATCTCATTAGAAATGTGTTTATACTTTGTACAGGTATCATTTATAATACAGTCCAGCAAGTGGAAATAATAAGTATGCGTTATGAGAACTGAATATTGAGGCTGACAATATACCATCTAGTCACAGAAAATGTTTTCCCAGCTATGTGTTCCTTTTCTTTATCCCCTGACAAATGATTATGGAAAATGAACAGCTATCAATTTTCTATGATTTGGATATTACCTTGCTGGCACCAGGTAGGAGATGAAGCTTCACATATGGATCTGCTAAACCATTTGAGTCCATAGGCTTTAAACCCTAGAAGGCGCATTCAAAAAAGAAGAAAACTTTAAATATTTTGCCAATATAATTTGCTTTTGTGTCAAATTCATGTGATCCAACATTTGTTACTGCATAATATTTTAGGTGAGGGAACTAACACATGGATATCAGAATATTTTCTTGCAGCAAAAATGCAAATTCAAAATCCTGAGCTTACAAACAGCCTGGTAACATAGAGGCTGCCTCTGAAGATGCAGGATCCAGGGATATCTTCATTCATGTTTTACTACTGAGTGAGCCACAGACCAGGAACAAGCATGTAGGTTAAGTAGTGCAAGTTCACTGGCTACAAACATGTTGCAGGTCAGTGCCTCACTATAATGTATGGAAATTTTGAGAATCATAGCCCTGGAGGTCTTAATTTCAAAGCAAGGAGGCAAAAGTATCTATCATTTCTTAAGGGTTACCTTTAAGACATGTAATTAAATCTGCAGAACCTAGCCCTGTCAGCTAGCACAAGGAAGTTGATTCTATCACCTAAGCAGAGACCAAACTGTGCAGGTGTGCCCTGGTGCTGGGTTACAGCTCTATAACTGCAAATATCTGAAAAATGAAATCTTCTGGTAAACAAAAAATAGATTTTAGTTAGATTTATTTTGCAAGGCCAAAATGGCCTAGGTTCTTAGTTGCTTCTTTTTGGTGGGTTTGGTACACACCTGTTCATACACAGGCCCTATGTATGTTGCTGTAACTTTAACCCCCCACCTCTCCCTTTACAAATGCCCTGTTAGTATGGATAAAATGTACCGTTAAAAAATGATACTTGCCTTACCCCCATCTTCCAAATTGCTGGGCTTGGCATCATCTGTGAACTGGGACAGGGCCTAACAATGTTTGCGGATTTTGCATTTTACTGCAAGGTCTGTTTTGAGGAGCATACATATTGCTATACATCCAAGTGTTGGTACTCCTATGGATTACATAAGTGACCACAATGTACAGAAGCACCTTGATGCTGAGCGGTGTTCCTGTGTATGCACGCATTCATTCAAACTGAGACCCTAGTTGTCATTAAAACATTACAAACTAGTTTAATCAGATTGCTTTTGACGACTTACAGGGCTGAGTGAAGGTGAATCATTGCAACATGTATATAGCTTAAGTGAAGCAAAATTGAAGATACAACGATTGGCTATCCAATAAGGGTCAGTTAGCACAGTTTAACATAATTAAGTAATTAGAAAAGAAAATAACTTTAGCATATAACTCCCATTTACAACTTTTGCACATTTGACAAAACCTAGACAACCTCCATTTCTCTTGCTTCAATTAGTTGCAAGGACTCACACCTTAAATGGCTATTAAGCCAGCCATATCCATAAAAGTCTCTATTTTTTACTTTTGAGTCGCAGGGAAATTAAAACCTGAATGACCAGACCAAATTTTGTACCTACGGTATGCACCGGTTTATTCAACAATAACTGCTTTGCACACCAACTTGATTTTCACACCATTTTAGCAAATGTGGAACCTACAGTTGGTAATCTTTTTTTTTTATTAGCCTTTACACATTTTGTAAAAAATTATAAATATATACGTACATAACCAGTCATGCATGGTACGACTACTAGTCTCTTGTACTGTTTGCTTTCCCCTTTCTGTATTATATAAAGGAAAACACTTGATTGCTGAAAAAAACCCTTTGATTGCTGAAAAAAACCCTTTTAAGTTTTGTGTAGTAGGGTTAAGAGATTAAATTTTTTCAACACCTCTATGCTGGTGGTTTTCCGCAGTAGTGCGGGGTGTGTCAGATCTACAAACTTTGTCCACCAAAGAATCCCTGAGAAAGTCAATAACACTTAATGAGAATGAAAAAATGCATTTGTGCATGACATTTATTTTGTTGCCTCAACTGGGAGCATTCACTAGTGACATTATCATGTTCAGACCTGCGGATGACGAAATGTGAGACTGAGGACTATTAAGTACACTCAGGTTACAGAAGTTCTGTTCACTGTTGATTTTATTTATCAAGGTGTCAGAGATAAAAATGACCCGGGTTGCTTCTTCGCACTTGATCAGATTCCAACTTGTCATTTGCAGAGTGAAAGTTTGTATTTAATATTTTGCTTTGAAATAACACAGGCAGTTTTAGTTTCAAATACGTCACATCATATCTGATATATGGCATTAAAGTGTACTGTATGTAAAGCCAGACCTTTTTTTAGTGTTAGATTGTAGGGAAAGATTAGAACCCCAGTCAGATTTTCATTGCCGTCTCTGGCCCTGCTAAGTAGATACACTATCTCTACATGTTCTGTTGACCACTGCCACCACTGATGGCAAATCAAAAATTGTATAGTTGTCACCAGAACAGGAGTGGTCTATGGGCTGTCTGTTCGCTGACAACTGTCTAACAGAGGAATTCCACTTTGTAACGATTTCTTTCTACTTTGTTATTTTCCAGACAGGAAGTGTACGGATTCCTCCCAATGGGAAACAAACAGAAAAAAATGAGAAAGGATTTAACTGTGTTCCCTACTCTATCCAAAACTAAAAAAAGTTTTGGCTATACATACACTTTAAAGTACCACTGTAAAAAAGACTGCCTAAAGGTGAAATTATGACCAGGCTATAGACATTTAAAAATGTACATGTTCTTAACAAGAGGTAAATATGCTTTAAAATAGGCTCTCACTGACCTCTGTAGCACCAGACACTGCTGAGCAATTTATCCTCAAATTTGACATCTGCTCTGTGTTTACATTAGTGATTAAAAGCCTGGAAGGTTTTCAAGCCGCTGCTTGGAGGGAGAGCAAAAGGAGCAGGGCTGCCCAAGAGAAGGGCTTCAATGATTCTCTTTTGAATTCTGAGGAAACCGTGAAGGCTTGTTTAAAGCATATTCACTGCTTGTTATGAATACTGTTTGTAAGTTCTTTGATTGGCCACATGTGCAGTAAAGGTGTTGTTCATGTATTAAGTGCAGTTTCAATACTAGTTTCCACTTGTATTGAAACTGCTCTTCTAATGTCTACAGCTACTAAGAGTAAACCTGTGGCCAGTCTATGGCAATATTCTCTTTAACAAAATGCAAGCATTTAAAGGGGGTGCCGTGATAAGCACTAGATACTTGGTTTTGGTGCCCATGGCTAAAAAGCATAAATATGTCACTTATACCTCATTGTTGCCACAGTACGACATATGATGACGGCAGCAGCAGGGACCTGTGATTTGGGGCGGGAGTAAGGCTAAATGTGTTCCCTCCACCCCCAACATGCATTTGCTGAATGTACCCAGAAGCGACGATGTTTGGAAATTGTGAATTGTGGTTGGGAATAAAGCTGATAAAGCATGATCTGTGCTTGATCAGCTAAAGTGAAGTACAGTGAAGTTAGTGCTGTGAGTGTAAGTTAAAAAAAAAGTCAATTTAATCAGACATAACGTCACAAACGAAAGAACCAACGTTTCGGGGCCGCACAGGATCCCTTCATCAAGGTGATAATGTGATAATAATAATGTGATAATTAGGTCACATTATCACCTGGATGAAGGGACCCTGTGTGGCCCCCGAAACGTTGGTTGTTTCGTTTGTGACATTATGTCCGATTAAATCGACGTTTACTATTTGAAAACTACTTATTTAGTACTGGTGATTCCTGTTTTCTACTGTTGATGTGCATGGTGCCATCCGTGATTGTCACTGCAAGCACCATTATTACCATTTGGGCTGGGAACGCTGTAAGGAGTGCAGAGGGACTCTCTATTCTCTTTAAAACAAGGTTTAATAAAAGAAATGTAAAAACACCACAAAATGTTTCAAAGTCCCAAACGTTAAATGTGCCACAGGGAGCAATAATTGTAGGCCAATTTTTCCCAGTTAACTCTAAATTGATGACCTGTTGAAGCTTTAAAAAATCTGCCTACAGGCAATTTTGGGTACCATAGTTTTCTACCATTTCTTGGGCACATGCAGTTTTAAAGCTTGACATGTTATTTTTATGTGGTTCCCAAATTACCAATTGCATTTCTAAATTCTCCTTTCATTGCAATCTGCATTATGCCCAGCAAGCACACAACTGCTACTGCCCAGATGTTCAGGTAATGATGGAAAACAATGTGTTGAATTGACAGAAAAAGAAAATGTATTGTCACAAAAAAACTCTATGTGACACTTGCAGTTATTCCTGTCACAGTTAACAGGATCACTTGGTGTTGATAGAGGGCGAGCACAACACCCACATGTTGTGTAAATTGCACAGCCTTGTTAATTAACAGGTCGACATTACCAAAATAGGGCCTCAAGGCATAACAAAATAAAATCTGAGGACCAGAAATAGGGTATTCCTAGGTAAACACCAGAGTTTGTTTAAGTCTTTGTGTCCAGTCATACTACATAGCACAAATATAAACCTCTTCAAGAGGAAAAGAAGTTTGGACATAAGCGTGCGCACAGGGTGTGCCAGGTGTGAGCATACCAAAGAGCACAACACCAAAACAGCGGGCGCCATGTTTTTAGTCGCTGAGCCAGTAAATAGATCACAAAGATTTATCTGTGACCAGTTCAATGATACAGCAGCACTTGCCACTTACATTGCTCACATAATGGCTGCAGTCCTGGATGCCTGGGAAGATGTGAGGAAGCATAGCTGCAGTTTCCCAGGCTTCCTATCCAATGAGGAAGCCGTGCAGGTGGTCACATGAACACTTGCCAAGCTCCCTGCTTCATTACTGCACTCTTGCTGGAAGAGGTAAGGGAGAGTTTAAGAAATGGGATTCCGGGATGCTTCAGATCTGTGTATTATATATACACATATACACACACATATACACACACACACATATAGGGATGCACCGATATATATATCGGCCGCTGAAACATATCGGCCAAAAATGGCACTTCTGGCTAGATGCCGAAAGTGCCATTTTCCTGCCGATACATCTGCGCATCCGTGATTTCTTTCCTCCCCGCTGGGTGCTGCTCTGTGTCCCAGTGTGAATGAGAGAAAGTGACAGCCGTCCGAGCTCTGCAGGACAAC